ATCCACCCCAGGACACCCAAAATCCCCCAAAACCACCCAAAAATCAACCCCGGGAGCCCCAAAATCCCCCAAAACCGCCCAAAAATCAAACCCGGGAGCCCCAAAATCCACCTCGGGACCCCCAAAACCGCCCCAAAATCCACCCCAGGACCCCCAAAATCCCCCCAAACTGCCCCAAAATCCACCCCAGGACTCCCAAAATACTCCAAAATCCCTTCAAAATCCACCCCGGGACCCCCCAGTTCCCCTGGCCCCGCCCACCCGCTAATGACATCACATATGGGCGGGGTCTGGGAGCACTGGGAGACACTGGGAGGGAACTGGAGGGTCACTGGGAGGGACTGGGAGTGATACTGGGGGTGAACTGGGAGGGGATTGGGGGGGGACTGGGAGGGACTGGGAAACACTGGGAGTGATACTGGGGGTGAACTGGGAGGAACTGGGAGAAGATTGGAAGGGACTGGGAGTGATACTGGGAGCACTGGAGGTGAACTGGGAGGAACTGGGACACAACTGGGAGGGACTGGGAGAGAACTGGAGGGTCACTGGGAGGACTGGGAGTGATACTTGGGGTGAACTGGGATGGACTGGGAGCGACACTGGGGGTCACCATCCCAAACAAGCTCCGCCCACCCAAAAATAAACCCCGCCCACCCCCCCACCGAGTGGGCGGAGCTTTGCTGGTGTCACGTGATGTCACTTCCGCCAATCAACGAGAGGGACACGCCCCCCCCCCCAGTTCAAACCAGTTCCATCCCAGTTGCCCCTTTTGGGGCGCTCGCTTCATTTGCATAACCCCGCCTCTCGGAGAGCACCCTAATTTGCATATCCACGCCCACCAGGCTGCATCCTTCTGGGCTGCCTTCATTTGCATAGCCACGCCTCCCACTTTCCCTTATTTGCATACCAACAGGGCTTCCTGTCTCCTAGCTACGGTTCATTTGCATAACCCCGCCCCATGGCCACATCTCATTTGCATATCCACAACCCATCCCATCTTCTTTACCTCGCCCTTATTTGCATAACCACACCCCCAACACACCATCATTTGCATACACACACCAGTAACTCGCTGTCCTGCCGTCATTTGCATAGCCCCGCCCACCATGGTTCACTCTCATTTGCATACTGGCCACATCACTCGCCCTCCCCAATTACATGACCACATCCAAATCATTTGCATAACGAGCACCGCCAACAAACACACCTCATTTGCATAAATAAAAGCTTAATCCCGTTTTATTTGTGAATGTTGGGTGTCATTTGCATGGACACGCCCCCAAAGCGATCCTCATTTGCATGGACACGCCCCCAAAGAGATCCCAGCCCCCCCCAAACTGACCCTGGGGACCCAAAATTGCCCCCAGGGTCCCCCAAAGTGACTCCAGGACCCCCAAAACTGCCCCTGGGACCCCCAAACTGCCCCTGGGACCCCTAAAACTAACCCAGGGACCTCCAAAATTGACCCCCCACTTGCCCCCCAGGGACCCCTAAAGTGCTCCTGGGACCCCCCCAAACTGCCCCCAGGATTCCCCTCAGAAGTCCCAGATGTCGAGGCCCCCCCGGACATGCCCGAAGCCCCTCAGGTGGCGCCGCTCGGAGCGACCCCCCCGCGAGACCACCTCGACCTGCACCTCCCGGCCCGGGGGGCCACCAGAACCATCCCCGTGGCCACCAAAAGCTGCCCCGTGGCCACAGCCCCCATGGCCACCAGAGCTGCCCCCGTGGCCACCAGCTTGACCATCAGCCCCGAGGCCACCACCCCTGCAGCCACAGCCCCCATCGTCACCACAACAGCCCCTGTAACCACCAGAATTGCCTCCATGGCCACCAGCTTGACCAACAGCCCCTGGGCCACCACCCCTGCAGCCACAGCCCCCGTGGCCACCAGAACTGTCCCCCTGGCCACCCCCCCCCTCCTGGTGGCCACCACCACCATTTCCAGACCCCTCAATCCCGTGGCCACCACCCCCCTCCCGGTGGCCACCACTCCCATCTCCAGGCCCCCCAACCCCGTGGCCACCACGCCCATCCCAGTGGTCACCCCGCTCTCCCCCCTCGCCCTCCCATGGCCCACCCGCCCCAGCAGCCACCCTGACCCCGCGCTTGCCCAACGCCAACCGGGGCCTCCCCTTGTCCAGGGCGGCCAGGAGGGCACAAGCCATGCACAACTCACCGCTGGCCACCGACCCGCAGCGCTCGCAAGCCCCCGGCGGCTCCCCCGCGCCTGGCGCCGCCCCCAGGGCCAGCCGGCGTCCCGAGTGGGCCAGCGCGGCCACGGCCGCCGGCCGGGCGGCCTCCAGGTCCTTGAGGAGGGCGCGGGGGTGGCCCCGGAAGGCCAAGGGCGCGTGGTGGCACTCGGAGCTGGCGTAGGAGAGCCCCAGGAAGTGGGCGTAGAGCACGATCTCCCGCTGCGCCGCGTGACGCAGCGGCTTCAGCCGCGGCACCACTGGGGGGGCGGCGCTGGGGTGCGGGGGCATCTTGGTGGCTTTCCTTGGGTTCCTGTTGAATTTCGTTGGGTTTCTGTTGGGTTTCCTTGGGTCTCCCTTGAGCTCTGATGAGTTGTTGTTGGGTTCCATTGGGTTTCTGTCGAATTTTGTTGGGTTTCTGTTGGGTTCCAATGAGTTGTCGTTGGGTTCCGTTGGGTTGTCATTGCGTTCAATTGGGTTTCCGTTGGGCTCCAATGAGTTGTCATTCAGTTCCGATGAGTTGTCGTTGAGTTCTGCTGGGTTTCCATTGGGTTCCGATGAGCTCTCATTGGGTTCCATTGGGTTTCCATTGGGTTCTTTTTTGGTGGCCCCGGTGGCCTCATTGGCCCCAGTGGCCTTGCTGGTGGCCGCGTTGGCCTCGTTGACCCCAGTGGCCCCATTGGGGGTCCCAGTGACCTCATTGGCCCCGGTGGCCTCGTTGGTGGCCGCGGTGGCATCATTGATCTCAGTAGTGTCATTGGTGGCCCTGGAGACCTTGTTGACCCCAGTGGCTTCATTGGTGGCCCCGGTGACCTTGCTGGTGGCCACGGTGGCCTCGTTGGTGGCCCCAGTGGCCTCGTTGGCCGCGCGCCGCAGCCGGGCCACGTCCCCGCGCAGGAAGTTCATCAGAACCGTCTCAGCCACGTCGTCGGCGTTGTGACCTGGGGAGGCCCAGTGAGCACCAGTGACCTCCCAGTAACACCCAGTGACCTCCCAGTAACCAGCAATGACAACCAGTAACCACCGGTGACCTCCCAGTGAGCACCAGTGATCTCCCAGTAACATCCAGTGACATCCCAGTGAGCACCAGTGACCTCCCAGTAACCAGCAGTGACAACCAGTAACAACCAATGACCTCCCAGTGAGAACCAGTGACCTCCCAGTAACACCCCGTGACCTCACACTCACCCCAATCCCACCCCAGTTTCCCCCAATCCCCTCCCAGTCCCTTCTACCCCCTCCCAGTCCCTCCCACTCCCCTCCCAGTTCACCCCAGTCCCCTCCCAGTGCTCCCAAATCCCCTCCCAGTCCCTCCCAGTTCCCCCCAGTGCTCACCAGTTGCTATCCACTCAGCCCCCATTTCCCTGGCCCCCCTCTCCAGTCCCTCCCAGTCCCCTCCCAGTCCCTCCGAATCCCCTCCCAATCCCCTCCACTCCCGTCCCAGTCCCTCCCACTGCTCTCTAACTCCCTCCCAGTCCCCCCCAGTGCTCACCAGTCACTATCCAGTCTGCCCCCATCTCCGTGGCCCCCCTCCCAGTCCCTCCCATTCCCTCTCAATCCCCTCCCACTCCCCTTCGAGTCCCTCCGACTCCCCTCCCAGTGCCTCCCAATGCCCCTTAAACCCCTCCCAGTCCCTCCCAGTGCCCCCCATTGCTCACCAGTCACAATCCAGTTGGCCCCCATCTCCCTGGTCCCCCTCTCCAGTGCCTCCCAGTCCCTCCAAAATCTCCTTCCACTCCCTCCCACTCCCCTCCCAGTCTCTCCCAAACTCCCCCCATGCCCTCCAATCCCCCCCAATCCCCTCCCAGTCTCTCCACTCTCCTCCCAGTGACTCACCAGTCATAATCCAATCCACCCCCATCTCCCTGGCTCCCCTCTCCAGCACCTCCCACTCCCCTCCCAGTCCCCTTCCAGTCCCTCCCAATCTCCCCCACTCCCCTCCCAATCCCTCCCACTCTCCTCCCAGTCCCCCCCAATCTCCCCCACCCCCCTCCCAATCCCTCCCAATCCCCCCCCACTCCCCTCGTAATCCCCTCCCAGTCCCTCTCAGTCTCTCCCAATCCCCTCCCATCCCCTCCCAATCCCCTCTCCAGTGCCTCCCACTCTCTCCCAGTCCCCCCAATCCCCTCCCAGTCTCCCCCATCACTCACCAGTCCCTCCCAGTCCCCTCCCAGTCCCTCTCAATCCCCTCCCAATCCCCCCCCACTCCCCTCCCAGTGCCCCCCATCCC